CGATAAAGAATTTGAGATCGCATATATTTACGTAGAATTAGAAGATTCTGATTTATTAATTTTTTTTAAATGAATTAAATTTCCTACTGGAGCTTCTTGTCTAGACAATTGAGTTTTTTACTTATCAAATTATTTAATTCACATTTTTTTAAAATTGAGATCATGAAGGGATTAATGTTAGACCACCATTAAAAACCTGGAAGCACTGGACGGCCGTTTCGTCCTATTGTGAAACTCCTCGGCAGTGCGAATCCACAATCCCGCCCGTAGGATTCGAACCCGGGACCTATTGGTCTCGCGCGCGTACGCTTAACCTAATGGACCACTGACCCGGCATCCAGTGGTGTTAATGTCTGACCTCAACCAATCCACGAAATTTCGTGACCATCTTCCATTGTACTGAGGTAGATACCTGTGTTCTGCTCGACATGGATTAGCTCCACTGATCACGGTTTCTCACTAGAACGCTTAGAATTCCCTCACGAAGTTAGTCACTAGTGAGCACATGGTAATTATCAGTATGAATTTGTGGAGATTATTAGGTTTTTGATTTCGATCATGAACTGATTGATGTTAGATGATTATTAAAAAACCTGGAAGCACTGGACGGCCGTTTCGTCCTACTGCGGAACTCCTCGGCAGTGCGCGTCCACGATCCCGCTCGCGGGATTCGGTTCATGATCTCAATTAAAAACTTAATTATCTCCACAACCCCTTTACTGTTAATTCATTTTAACAGAAATATTTGGTCATTAATATTTTTAATAGTATTCGCATAACTTTCGGGTTGACTGATCTGCTAATGTTGATGGAACTGGTTATGACGCTACTGATGTGTACAAAGTTTAAAGAGGATTGTATACTGTATGATTACACCCCGTTTTATTATTTCTATTTAAAAATTTTTGCACTATAAAAACGATTCGGTTTAGCTTGCCATTCAGGGATTTGCTTCCTGGTATGTACCTTGCTTCATGCTAGATTGAATGTACACTGGCTTAGTGATAAATATGCATTCGGGAAACCGATGTATTATTGGATATTTATCATTTATTACATTATTCTCTACTTAATTTTATCTACAAGATTGGGAACATAAACGTTTGTGATTGATTTTACGAGATTTTGTGAATTTTGTGAAATATATACCCCAATAGTATTACTTAATGTGTATATCGTAAACTTGTTTAAACCCATAAAGATTAAGAATAAATTTATTCTCTAGTTGATCATCTTTAAGGAGAAGTGAACTTAACAAGTATTATTATTTTTTTGAAGTAGAATTTGTTCTCAAAACGACATCTAATAGTATCGTTTATTCAGCACAAAAGACTTTGAAGGGTTCAAGAAGATTTATAACTGTAATGATGTTATGTTGTGCTAGATGGCTAAATTTGGAACTTCTAATGTCATTCTAGACTATATCATCAACACGTATGTTTACTGGCTAGAATAAGCTGAAATAACATTTGAAATTGAACTGAATTGTTGAATATTTTAATAAGTTTCCAAGAAATTAACATTATATAGATTCAATTTTTATCATGGCTGTGGCCAAAGAGTAAAGTCAAGAGGTTGCTTCTAGCTCACAAACTGTGGCTTATACGTAAATTATGTCTCACAGAACTTTTCTAAAAATTTCACAAGCTCTTTCAATTGTTCAATATGGATATAGCGTAAGAGGCTGGTAAATGATAGTTAGGATTAGTGTTAAACTTAGAATAAACATAGGAAAGTATACTCTAATAAAAAGACAATATTTGAATAAGCATAAAGGTGAAAATTATCTATACATAGAGAAACTTCATATTCTAACTTTCTTTTCATTAGTTACTAAATTAATGTTACATTTAACTTTTCTAGATATTACCACTTTCTAACATTCTTGAAGTATTCTCATATATGTATATATCCTTTTAAAACATCTCAGAGTAATGTTGTTTTGTCTTTTTTTCTTCTTTAACAGATAACAAAAAGTAGTCCCATTTCGTTTCTTATTTCTTTATCAACATTCAATTAAATAGACTTAATAAAATAAACATGAAGTGAATAGAAGTGAAACTAAAGAGTCAACCAGATTTTCATGATGAAACTAAGCTTGTTATGTTTATTACTAGTGACGTTATCATTATTATTATTATTACTACTACTATTGTCACTACTATTATTATTAATAACAGTAGTAAGAAAATAGGTTGATGAAAAGTGTTTTAGAATCACAGCCACGCCTACAAATAATACTTTGTTATTTCTAAAACCTTCTGTCTCTCTCTCGCTCCTTTTTCTTTTTTAAATGATGCATCCCAACAATTAATACTATTACTTTTCATATTGAAAATCATCAACTTAGTTTAACATTTTACTTGTTAGTTAGTTGATTTTAAATAAAACCATTTCATTGTTTTAATGTTTAGTTAATATAACACTTTAAAAGGGTACACTACTAAAGCTTCTTTTTTTTTCTCTCTCTCTCTCTCTCTCACACACACACACACTAACAGGTCTGACGTTTTTATTGCGTCATATCATGGAAACTAAATGAGTGAGGAAAAAAAAACTTATTTTTTTATCGGTTTTTTATTAGTATTATTGGATTAATTTTAACCAGTGGAAATGTGAATCATCAAATTTATATCCTAAATCTAAGAGATTAAAGACAAAGTGTTTATATATATTGATCAACTAGGATATACCTTGAAATTGTATACAAAAACTATTCTAATAGAAATATATAATTGATATTTATGAAATTTAAAGTAAATCTTAAAGCTGTTTACAAGTAAACTTGATATTGTTACTCAAAATGGATATTGTTATCCATGGATAATAATAATTTATATTAGAAGAAATAGAAAATATGTTTTACATCAACATTTCATGTTAATACAAAGTCATCATTTCTATTACACTATATATGTTAATAAATTATGTATATATAAAACATGTGACCTTGAATGTTGTTAGAGTTAAGAGGACGATTATTACTTCCCGGTTGCTCACACCGTGGAAAAGTTCTTCTAGAGGTACCTGAAAAGGAAATCGGGTTAGAGTTGGTCTTAGTAACTTGAGAGCGTGGCCACAGTGTTTAAGAGACAACTACTTGAGGCCAGTCACACAACCATTTTGTGGGCAACTTTTGTGTTAGTTCCGTGCTTGTTGAAAGCTTACCGCTGGAGACAGATATCCGTGGGATAAGGCGAAGTGTGCATTTTTAGAGACGATCTTTTCTTACCTTCTAACCTTTCCTTTGTGGGAAGGCAGCATCTCTGTTATGCTGGTTGTCTGAGAGAAACATCTTACTGCCGTCACACCTCTGTACAGTTAGTAGTACGACTTCTCCCTCGGGTTTGCTTCTTTTAGTTTTGCCTCCCTTCAGCCGACCTGCATGAGATGGTAGGACCATGAGGAACGATTGTCCCAACTAGTATAGCCCGACTGGTTCATCACGATAAACAAGTCCAACCACCACGTCAAGGTAGCAGCATATGTGTACCTGGTTCTATGTTGAAGACGAAAATTAGTGACTGACTTCTACTGGTATTTGTGTCATCAATGTAATATATATTTCTCAAATACAAACACACTAGGAATTAAGAACAGTATCCAATATTTACGGACAGTCATTAATATACTACTGAAAAAGAAATCGTGTATTCTAAGTGATATTTTTCTTATTCAAACAGTTTTAATTTGTCTAATAACAGTCAATTGTATTCAATCGCCTGCTAACTTGCTTTGAAGTTATTGAACTTTGACAAAAAAATGATGTGCAAGCACAAAAATAATTCTCAAGCCAAACGAGTATCTTACTTTTAGATATTTCAGAATTTATTACTGAAATCTCGGCGTTGTAATCCAGCAAGATGATTCACTAATAATGGAGTCAGTTGTCAATTATTTCTAAATACATGTTTATTTTAGGCAATTCAATGAATTAAGTGAATAATTTAATCTTAATTTATGTAGGCCGTATCCGCTATGTTAAAAATGATGGTAGATTGAATTTTATAGATGAATGATATTATTATATAGTAGATACTAATAATCGAATCTCGACTATGAAACTGAATACCAATCTATTTGTTATCAGAGTTTATTATTATAGGTTTCGCTTCTTTTGACATAGAGCGTGAACGTCGATGAACAAATTAGTCATCTGATTTGTTATCCTTTCACCCATCTATTAATTCATGAAATCTATCCAGATGATGTATGAAAATCATTGGATTATATTTTAACAATAATCCAATACATTTGCATTTTATTGTAATCATAAAAATTACCAAGTATTCCGAAATAGCTGTTGGAGTTATTTTGATTATCGTCTATTCGAGTCACCGTATGTTTCTAACTTTTCAGAAGATGGTAGGGAACTTAATTAGTTTTACCTTTGATTGCAACGTCTACTGGGTTTGTCGCTTCTTTTTTTAATTGTTTTTACTCCACGATTGTACTTTATTTCAGTATCCATTGGAGAAATACACATTTGGCAATTAAACCTACGTTTTTCTAACTGAATTTCGATCTCGCTTATTAAATTACTGCCAGGAACATATAACGAGATAGTTTAATTTTGCAAAGTCCTAGGAGAATAAATAGACTTGTGGAATTCCATTTGATTTTACACACAATATCTTTGTAACCCTGTCTTATTCATGATTATGTAACTTTGAACGTGATCTTTAGTGAATATTGAGAGATATGAAAAATGGTAACTTCATATGAATTTCATGTCTTTAGATGAAGCTGATTGAATTATTTCAAATGAAAGATTGTTTTATATGAAAATCAGTTGGCAGTCTGGATTTTGTGATAAAACTGATAAGTTTCTTCCAACTAGATATTTTATTAAATATAGAAGTTTGAGTATAGATGGAAACCGTAAATAAATTTTACAAACATGTTTAATGATTCAAAGTTCAACCAATAAGATAGTTTTAACGCTAACATTTTTTTCAGTCATGATTTGCTTTTATTTTCGTTTGCCTCCATAATTTCCATTAAATATTCATTATAGGATTGGATTCACCAGGCCCTGATTTCGTAATAGGATCTTCGTCTATATTCTGAGTTTGTTGCAGTTGTGAGCTGCTTTGAATTTTGTGTACTAAAACTTCTGGTGCTTGTGTCGTAGGTATAACTGCTTCTGGTATTAGTTGGGAATAAGGAGCCTGTAAGGTTAAGTGTGATTGTATTTGTGGCGACTGCATGTCAATATGTGGTTGCCCTGGTTGACTTGTGTATGGTACACCAACTGTTGTGATGAATCCAGGTTGTGGATTGGACACATGTGTGTTGTTCAGTGTCAGATTATTCGTGTTCAAAAGTGATTGGGAATTTAAATGTTCATCACGAATTCGTCTTGGAATACTATAACATGAAATTATTATATGACCGACTTTACGAAATAATCCTTTTGTATAAGGGTTTTGGACACCAGGTTGAAATTTTTTGTAACGTTCAATAGCTATTTGAGCTGCCGACTGGTATAGCATACACGAGGAGCACAAAAGAGATGTACAAAAGTCAGAGATAATATGACCTTTGATGCGATAATGATGTCTTAAACGTCTACGGCAGCCGCACCCCAAAAATACATGTATCCATATGATAGGTGAAAGAAATAATGCTATCAAATAACTCAAGCAACAAATACACCAAGGGTAATCCATTTCTTGTGTGATGCTTCCGAAAACACAACAAGGACAGAAACACGAGAGAAGTGTTAGTTTAATTGATCTACATTCACATAAACCAACATCCCATCGTTTTTTATTTGATTGGTTTAGGGTACCATCTGGCTGAACTGATACAATTAAATTCGTTTGACCTGGTCGATAAGGAACTTGCATAATGCTGAAAACAAAAAGCACAATCAAATTTAAATTGGTGATAGTGGCAACCTAACTATTCTGTAAATGATTTATTTCACTAACCAATATCATACGATAAACTACATATATCCAGTAGAATCAAAGGAAGTGTTCTGTTCGAGTGTGAACTTACCAATTAGCAAACCTCTTTAGGTGCCTATTGAATCGGATGGTGAATGCTCAGGATCTAGTGCAGTCAGTCTGTTGCAAACTGACCAAGTCTTTATGTTGATATAGATAAACATATACATTTTTCGTGTATCTCAAGTATTTATGTACCAAATAAAGCACTGAAAGTTACAGTTTAGCGGAACTTATTTTTCGATTTATTAGCAAAACACTTCTAATTTTAATATGATCATTTACAGAATGTATCTAAATCAAGTAATAATGGCAAACTTTTGTTCCTTTATTAAAGATATTTTTTGCTATATGACCATTTCAGTTGAAGAAGTACTGCAGAGCAGAAACCACAAAACAGATGTTTTTTATCCGATGATAGATCACATAATAGTGAGTATTATTAAATCGTTTTGTGAAGTTATATTCACAACTAGAATGAAATAAGTATTTATGACAATTTTAGATGGTAAAAAATAAAACTCATAAACTTGAATTACTGTTTACTGTTCATGAAGAATCTATGTGGTAATGGTAATTTGTTTCACATCTAAAAAGAATACATTTTATTCATGCAGAGGATCGACTCATGGAAATGAGAATTATCATAGATAATGTTACAAGATGACTGGTGTTAAACAGTGTCGTTAACTCACAACGTGATCATTTTGAGCCCCTAAGTAATATTTAATAAATAACTTCATAGGATGGAAGCAGTAGAAAGCATCAAACTACAATTAACATTTTACAAATTCAATGCAAACGGTTTAATATGTATTGATATTTTCCATAACTGAGGTTTACCAACCTTTCAGACAGGGAGCTCTTTAGAAACTAACTAATCAAAACCGATGATTGCTTCATGTGCTGAGAAAGTTAGCTGGTCATTAAAATGCAACCCATGAAAATTTGATAATAATTGTCGAGCAGTTTATGGAATTCATTTTTCGAGCTGATTTTGTTGCAACGCATTCCTGATAGATTCTAACTAATGATCAGGCTAACTAAACTTAAAGATCTACATTAATGACCACAAACATATCATACTTATTCATTGTTCAAAGCGTTTTCTTTGAATATTTCATTCAAGTGAGAACATTTTCTTTGAAAACTATATATCCATACTTTCAAGATGAGATCAATGTGAAGTATTTGTCAAACATAAGTTCACTGTTATCGATTGAAATGTGGAATCAAGATGTGTGTGAGATTAGATGGTGGTTGGAGGTAGTCGACAGGAAACCCTGGACCCGGGTTTCGTGCTACTTGGCACTCGTCAGCAAGGTGTACCTGTAATCTTTGAGGGAACTGGTGCTCCCTGGCGGTGGCCACATTGCAACACGGTCAATAGCATTCGATCTGCACTAATAATAAGGACTAGACACGCATGACATTGGTCACCACCCAGTGATCAATCAATTTTGAAGATGTATGTACATAATTGTAGTCCGTTTAATGGGAGTAATTAATGTATGTAAATATATTAAACAAAAAATGCTATTTATCCTTATTTGGTGATTATCTTATCAGTTATCTTATATATACTATTGTGTATCATTCTAAACTTTGTACTCTTGACTAAGAGTTGGTATTTTAACGAATTTCAGTCTAAATAAATAATGACTTAAAAAGGAAACTATTTAGTCGAAAGTAATTCAGATCTTATCTACTTCTACAATTTAATGTTATTTAGTTTTGGTACATGATAGTAAGTCATTATTTCAATTAGGAAAACTAAACATCATTAGCTGACATAGATTTCAGTTTGCAAAATTAATCTGCTAAGATTTAAAAAACCCGATACAAACCATATTTCATAACTAACAATTGAAATCTTAATAATATATATCCATAAATGGTTGAGATTATGAGTCAATTGAAGCTAGACCACCATGGAAAACCTGGAAGCACTGGAAGACCGTTTTGTCCTATTGTAGGTCTCCTCAGAGGCGCGCATCCACAATCCCGCCCCTCACGAAGTTTGAACCCAGGACCTATTAGTCTCGCACACGAGCGCTTAACCTCCAGACCACTGAGCTGGCCGGCATCCAACGACGTTAATGTCTAACTTCAACTAATCCACGTAATTGAGCTCATGAATTGACTCAAGATCTCAACTATTGAAATTACTACAATCTCTACAAAACCCCCTCTGATACATATCCTTTAAGTTAATCTGTTGATAAATTAAGGTATTCCCCGACTACTATGATATATAGCCATAGTTATTGATACTATACATTTCATATTTTGAGTGAGCGATGTATTACACTAAAAATCTTAAGAAGTTAATTAATTTAGGCTTTATCTATGGACAATGAGAGATCATTAAAAAAAAAACTTACATAATTATTCTTCTTTAAATATCAATTAGAATATAATGATCCACAATAAATTAAATCAATCTATAGGTTTAACTCTGATCTTATACAATCATATCACAATGATTATAAATGACTTTGAATTTATCTCCATTCTATTCAATAAATTAAGGAAATTTTCTGATATTAGCTCACAAGTAAAAATAATGATCATTTACATATTGATCGATAACAATATTATTGAATCTGTTGTCAAGTTGATCGATAGTTTTTTTTTTGTTTTTTTCTTGTAGAATTTGTTTATCAAATTATTCCTGTTTCTTTAAACCCATGATTAAGACTGTTTTTTTTGTTCTTCTTCCAATTGAAGAGAACTACAGTTTAATAAAACCAATTTCTTAATTGATTCACTTAATGGATAATGATATTATGAAATTTCCTGTTGGACAACCGTGAAATTTAATAAATCATTCATTATGAATAGAAAAGTTTTTATGAAAGAATTATTCGCAAGTCTCTAAGAACCTTCATTATATAAAGTTTGTATTTCAGAGAAGATGTGATCAATAGCTTGATATATTACATTTATGCTAACGGATGGATAATTTGTACTGATCGTATTAAGAAAATAACAGGGTTTTGAAATATAAACCATCTGATTGAGTTCACACTTGTATTCACTTTGATATGAATGATTATGAACTAGTGAATACAAACACAAATTCCCAATACTCAAACCTAGCTGGGTGATATAAGCATCAAGCATTCTTTTTGTCCATGTTAACACTGGTATTTTAAATTTATATACAAATGGTTTTAAATTGTTTGTTCCTTGGTTTTAGGGATGAGGAAACAGTTTCAGTTATGAAATGTGATTCTTTAACGAACCTACCAAGATGTATGTACTAGAAAGTAGTAATTACATTTTAATTACGAACTAAATTATGAGCATCCTTGAGATGTGATAAGTAACTAAATGAATATCTCTATATGTTATAGCTATCTCTTTCACAAAGCTATTAGTTTGGCAATGCAGCATTTGTCAGTATTCATAATAGACTAGTGAAGTAAATTTATCTTCTAATTCCCTTAAAGAAACTGAACAGTAAGCTACGAAAATATTTTAACCTATTAAGGAACATTCATCCAAATACAGACTGAATCGTAAATATGTCCAGAAAGATACATGATTCTGTTACAAGATGAGGCTGAGAATGAAATAGTTGAATATAGATTTCTGGATATGAGAACATTAATTAATGAATACCATTTTTAAACTGAAAATTCTTTACAAACCTATCTGAATTATGATGACATTTATGTTTATCAAGAGAACATCAAAATAGTGTTAGTATTTAACAATGATTTCATTTTGGAATGATTTGAGTATTGAATGAATCGAAAGAAAAAAACACTTTTAATGGTTCTTAATTTCAACTACTTTTCTTTTAATAGTTGTGTTCATGAGTCAATTGAAGCTAGACCACCATAGAAAACCTGGAAGCACTGGACGGTCATTTCATCCTAGTATGGAACTCCTCAGCAATGTGCATTCACGATCTCGCCTATGGGACTCAAACCCAGGACCTCTGACCTTGTGCCTAAGCACTTAACTTCTAGACCACTGAGATAGCTGGCATCCGACGGTGCTAATGTCTAACTTTTGATAGTCATTTACAAAAATCTAATTATCTAATTTAGTATATAATTTTTTATATTGATTAAACTGACTTTTCATTTGTTCTAGTTGATGATTAATTTTCACATTAAGTGCTTTTGAATATCACTTGTATTTCAGTTACGTTAAACTCAGTATCCAATTGAACAAATTATTTATGATGTAATACATAGATAAACAACATTACAAATAACATGATTTTAGATGACACACGTGTCTTGGTTGCTAGGATAGATGAATTGACAATGATAGTTTGTAATTAGTATGTCCTTCAACTGAGTATTTGTCATTATTGATTAACACTTATTACGTGTATGACTATTACAAAATACACGTGCCTATCATTAGTTTCTGTTGCATAAATCTGATAATGTATCAGCTTGAAATTAATAGGTATCTAGGTAATTACGATGAGTGTTTTAAATTAAATGACTAGTTTTTTTTTCCAGGTTTTGAAATCTCGACAAAATAAATTACCAAAAACAAAGAGAATGTATTAAACTTTCCATGGACTACAAATTATTTGTTGATTTACTTTTGATAACTGACTTCAGCAACTGATTATGTGGTTGATAAATACAAATTAAGCGATAAAAACTCTCAAGTCTATAGCAAGGTTAAAAGTTAAGTCATATAGTCTATGGAAGTTTATTTCAAGATACGCTTGCTCATATATGAGTACCAAGTCTAGATAGCTGTCCCGAAATAGGTTCATACTATGGATCAATTTATTTTCAAATTTCTATAAACTAAAATCAAGTAGGATAACTGATCGGTTGCAATGCTTCATAGATTTTCATTACACTTTATTCGGGAATAAATGAATTTACTACTCAGGGGTTCTTGGATAAGACGAAACA